TGCTATTAATCACTTATTAATACTTCTATCTCTTAATACTGTTACAAGGGCAGTGAAACTTCAACATGAGTTTTGAAGGGGACATTCAAACCATAGTACCCAGTAAAAACTTTTAGAGATATTTTAATTTACTTTTTTTGTTAAAAATTTCAAATATTTCCTTTTTCTTCAAAAATCAGAGAAAATGACTGATTCTTTGAATTGACATTATTTTATTTACTACTTTATAATGAGAGTCTACTTCTTGCTGAAAATAATCAAAGTATCCAAGCACTGACTATTTAATTTTTTCCGGCCATGGAAGACTAGCAACTTTGGTCATTTCTTCTGGTATTCCTCTTCAAATTTTGATTTCTTTACTGTGTAATATCCATTTCATTATATTTTGTTGCAGCCACAATTAATTGCATTCCAGAAATTTCAGTGCACTGATATTTAAGAAACATTTTAAAAACTTTGTGTTTCATTGTACTTTGTTCAAGACTGGTACTATTCAAATTCATTAAAATATTTCATCCATAAACTAAAATTTGGCTGGGGATGGTGGCTCATGCTTGTAATCCCAGAACTTTGGGAGGCCAAGGTGGCTGGATCATGAGGTCAGGAGATTGAGACCAACCTGACCAACATGGTGAAACCCTGTCTCTACTAAAAGTACAAAAATTAGCTGGGCATGGTGGTGCATGCCTGTAATCCCAGCTACTCAGGAAGCTGAGGCAAGAGAATGGCTTGAACTAGGGAGTTGAAGGTTGCAGTGAGCCAAGATCACGCGACTGCACTCCAGCCTGTTGACAGAGCAAGACTCCATCTCAAAACAAGCAAGCAAACAAACAAACAACAAAAAAAATCCCTGAAATTTGCACTTACCAAACCGAAATATTACCCCCCCGAGTTTGCATTGTCCCACTGCTTTACATTTTATTTTATTTATTTATTTTTGAGACAGGGTCTCTCTTTGTCACCCAGGCTGGCGTGCAGTGGTGTACATGGCTCACTGCAGCCTCAACCTCCTGGGCCCAAATGATCCTTCTGCCTCAGCCCCCTGAGCAGCTGGGACTACAGGTGTGCACCACCATGCCTGGCTAATTTTTGTATTTCTTGTGGAGATGGGGTTTTGTCATGTTGTTCAGGCTACTCTTGAACTCCTGGGCTCAAGCAATCCTCCTGCTTTGGCCTCACAAAGTGCTGGGATTACAGGTGCGAACCACTGGCCTGCTTCACATTTTAAATGCTATGAAAACTGAAAGTGATCCCAGAATAACAGAATTGGAGCAACTCAATTAAATTGCTTCATTTTTTTCCCCACTATGCTTTCATTTTTTATCATAAATCTACTGTTTTTACTACAGGGTTTGAAGACTTTAACTGAGTCCAAAGTAAGCTTGTATTATCCCAAAACTTTGCAAACTCACTCTCCAAACTGACACATGTAGCTGAGCGCTCTGAAATAACCATCATGTTGAATACAACTTACATTAAGGATAAATAGTAAAAATATGCTTCTTTGGAGTTCACAGATTATTAAAGCTTAATACTAACAGAACTTGGACCAACAGATGATTGTTTTAAGAGAGTATTTTAGCACTGAAGTAGTTTACAATTATACACTCCTGGTGATACTAAAAAGCAGTCTGGCTTTGTGTGAGTTTGTTATTGTTTGGAAATTTGATACAGACAACGTTCACTCTCTTTGCACTCAGGAGAGGCCCCGTCTGTAGTACACCACGGATTGATCTGTGAACTTGCCTTGTTCTTTTCCGTTTTTGCATAAGTCCTCCTCTTTCCTGATCTCCGTATCCTGACTAACCATCCTCTCGAAGTCTACTTTTAATCCCTTCCTTCTGCTAAACCTTCCTAAACCGAAAAATGACAGCAAGCTTTCCGGCACTGGACCTCTGAAGACACTATCCTCTACCATACACAGTATGGCTGATGCCTTCCTAGAATTGCCTTCCATTTTTAATACACTTTTAATCTTAAGTAGTCATAGTAGAAAGTTGCAGAGACTATCACTGTATTTTCACAGGCCTTTTGAAAACCTTATTGACTGATGGAAAGGACAGGAGTGAAGAGAGAAAGGACTTCAGTTACATAGTCATTATATTTGTGCAGAATGAATAAGGCACGTTTCAGTAAGCCAGAAATCACTCAGGAACAGAATGCAGACTTCCTGCCCCCACCTGAAGCGGGATACTGATACAGTATCCTGCTGCAGCGGGAATTTCACATTTTAATCCGTGATGTCACCCCCCAACTCACCAGCTGATATTGATGCAGGTGATCCTTGGACCCAAACAGGAAAAACGCTTTCTCAGGGGAACTGATATTTTGTATTGGACATAAGAGACTAAGGGCCTTAGGGTATTCCCATCTTGATCAAACTGACCCTGGAATGATAAAGTGAAGCTATTGTCCAATTCCATTTATGTTAGTGAACAAACATTAGAATGAAATAATGTTTGAGAAAATGTTTGTAAACCATTTAATGCAATGCAAATATAGCTACTAGTTTTACATTGAGGATGGTGGTTGACAAGATATTATTGTGTATGTTTTGGATTAAAAAATAGGGGGATGGGGTAGGATCATTGGTTCTGTAGTGTGACTCTTGATGAGATGATTCCAATAAATGTGTTTATACCAATTCAGTAATGGTGTGAAATCAATGTGGGCCAAATCCCAGCCTCAGAGGCAATGCTGAATGCTTTCTCAGTGTCCTCAAACAAGTTTTCAAAACCTGCAAAAATGTCTGCAGAAAGTGGAAAGGGGAAATTAAATTTAGTTTTGTTTGTAAATAAGAAATATTCTGAATCCAAACACATATGCTCTAGGCTAAACTCTTACCAGATTAGCATAATCAGAAAGTTGAATTTGTTAATTCCAGATCAAAGAAGGGGTTCTAATCCATGTGTTTCTTTGCATAATTTGAGGACGTGTGACAGACTCAGACAGAACATGCTTGTTTGCCATTTTAATCACGGCATTCTTTTTATTTATTTATTTATTTTGGAGACGGAGTCTTGTTCTGTCACCCTGGCTGGACTGCAGTGGTGCAATCTCAGCTCACTGCAAGCTCTGCCTCCTGGGTTCACGCCATTCTCCTGCCTCAGCCTCCCGAGTAGCTGGGACTACAGGCGCCCGCCACCACACCCAGCTAATTTTTTTGTATTTTTAGTAGAGACGGGGTTTCACTGTGTTAGCCAGGATGGTCTTGATCTCCTGACCTCATGATCCGCCCGCCTCAGCCTCCCAAAGTGCTGAGATTACAGGCATGAGCCACCGCGCCTGGCCCATGGCATTCTTTATGGAGCACAACTCATCCAAAGTTGTCCTCGCTTCCCTGAAAGCAGTGGGGGTCTCCATAGCCCATTTTGAGGGAGATGGGGGAGACACCGGGGCTGTTTCATGTGCAACATTAAACAGCAGTTCGTGATACAAGGTGGAGAAGAATATTGCACTCTCGTGTGGAGAGGAAATAAATAACACAAGCTTCTTGAAAGAAACAGGACTAAACCAATGCCATGCTTGGGTGAGGGGAGCCAGGGGACGTGACTGTCTCCGGTGGGACAGGCTTTCCTCCAGTAGCCGTTGCCAGCTGCCTCGCTGATGGCCATTCAGCAGTGACCCTGAGCACGGGCACCTGCCCTGATTCCCAGTCGTGTCAGTGGTGCTTACTTCAAGGTCTTTCCTCCCAGGAGTGAACCAGCTTAATCTGGGTTTAGCTCGGAACCGGAAGGTGGGAGGTGGATGAAAGTAATTGGCAGGTGAAAGAAAAAGCAGCCTCAGGGTAAGGCCAAGGCTGGGAGCCTGAGTTTCTGTCCTGCGGTGACTTTAATGAGTCTCCTCTGGTTGACTTGCAGCCCTGATTAAATACCATTCCTGATGAATGAGCCGGCACAGTCCACACTGGGACATCATGCAGTGCAGGTGGTAGTCAGAAGGGCATGTTTAAGGATATTACGCGGGTCACACAATGACGAAGCCCAGGGAAGAGCACAAATGTCAGGAAGCTGTTTGCCTTCCCACTAGGAAACTGCACTCCTCTCTCTTCCTCCAGGAAGGTGACGTTCCTCCCACTGTCCTGTTTTCCTCCCAGGCTTAGCGGCTCACCGCATACTGCGCACTTTAGGGTTCTGAGTTATCAGGACCTGATATCCTCTGGCCCACACTTGATCTACTTAGGCTTGTTAGGAAATGACTTGTTTTAGACATGCATATTTTCTAAGTAGACATCAAAGCTTCCTTTTCAGCATGGTAAAATGTATTAAATTACAATACTTCTTTTTTGCTCTTTACTTGCTTCACTTTTTAAAAATATTAAAATATTATACTTCTTTTTAGCCTACAACACATGACTTGAGTAATTCCTTCATGACTCAGGCTCCTTCCTACCTTTGGCTGTGAGTTATTTTGTGGTGCCAGCAAATAGCAAGGCAATGTTTGCCCTGACTTGAAATCGTCCTGCGCCCTGGGCCTTTGAACACTTCTGCTTGATTTTTATGCTTCCTTGGCTCTTTCCATCACTTTCTCTCCCTGCTCAAAGTGATGCTGCAGAGCTTCCATTCTTCTCCCTCTCCTAAGGTGAGTTCTAAATATGTCACATGACCAGACTGTTTTTTCAGAGTGTGTGTAAAGTAAGGATAAATGAGGATCCAGGTGACAACTGATGAACTAATTCATCATGAAACACATGACTTTTCAAGTCATCCATAATGAGAGACCAGACAACTATTTAACTTCCCAATTAGATTCATTTTTAATGCAAATAGTTGAGGCTGCTGGTTAAGTGACCTTCAAACAAGCAAGATGGGGCTGGGTGATGTCGCCTTCTAGTTTTTTGGTTATTTATAGAATCCCTTCAGAACAGGAACTGAATAACATGTATATAGTTTGTATTAATTTTAGTAGTGCCTAGGCCTTATTTGACATACATATTTAAAGGAAATATTAAAATAAGATGTTACATTTCAACATGAATTATTTCTCTGGAAGATACTCACCCACGAAATGATCTATGTATACTTCTAGCCACAGCAGCATCGTTTCGAGCGACAAAAAGCTGGAAGCCACTTCAATATCCTAGAGACAGGCAGTCTGAAGCAACCGTGAGCCACCTTTCCAATGGACTAGTGAACAGCTGCAAAAATAGAAGCAAAAAGATGGATGTTCTGTGTGACCACTGGGGTGCGATTTCTAACCTGGTGACGAGACTGCTGTAAACAACTGGCCCGCAGTGCATCCATGCAATGGAGGCTGATCCCTAGTTCTTCTGGTTGATGGGCAGCTCTCCTGTGGGGACTGCATCCTTTTTCTCTTCTGATCCCATTGTCCTCTAAGGCCTCATTGTCTGCATCGAGCTGATGGAATGGAACAGAGGCACGGTAGAAGCAGAGCTGTTTCCGAAAGCCTTTGCTCTGAAAGTGCGCATGCCTTCTACTCCCATTCTACATGAAAGAACCGGTCATATGTCCTTATTCAGATTCAGGGAAGGCTGGGAAATGTGATTCTGGCTGAGCAGCTGCTTTTGAGCCGTGACTGTTTCCTAGGAAAGGAGAGAATATGTTTGCTGAACACCTAGCTGCCTCTGCTACCATCTCATGTACTTATCATTACATGAGAAAGCAAGATGCCTAATATTGTTACTGTGCCGGCTATTTGTCTACAGAGGAGTGGCACATATATCTGTATCTGTATATGCATTAAAAATCTAGTGCCCATGCTGACCTATGGGAGAGGACTTTTGGGAATTAGTAAATGGGAGAGGAAGCAGAAGAGAAACTTCGCGACCTTGTGTACTCTCGTATTGTTTGAGATGCTACCAATGTAAATTACATTACCTACTTGGAGAACAAAATAAATTTAAGAAGTGAAAAAAAAGAGAGAGAGAGAATGCCACCAATCTGGACAGAAGGTAAGGAACATGACTCCCAGATACACTGTAGACCCATCTGGCTCAGGGCCATCCCATCCCACAAGCAGCGTGGGAGTGGATGAAGCCATCTGGGAGCCCCGTCAGGAGCTGCAGTCTTGAAGACTGTGAGCAAAGCGTAGGCGAAAATGTACCAGAACTGATGTCATTAAAGGAAAGCTGCTTTTCTTTGCTCAGAGAAAAGAGGCAGAAGTTTATAGAAAGAAGATCTCACTTCGTGTGATCTGTGAAATATACATAAGCAAAGCAGGTATATTTTCATAGCTTTTATGTAAATATATGTTTCTTATTGACCCCAGTGGAAAAGAGGTCTCTTCACCACAGAAAATGAAACATCGATGTCGCTTCGCATGGTAAATGTCTCCCACAGTGTCCGCCTCTGGATTTAGAAAAAGTAGGGTATCAACAGACAGCTAAAGAAGGAGTTGCTGGCCGGCTACTGCCTACAAGCAGAAATGTGTCAAGGATATTTCATCCCCATTTTCGAGAATTTTTGCCTATAGGACTCCCAGGAGCACAGGAGCCCACTCCAAGGAAAGTTATACAAGGAAGGCAGCCTGTGATAAGAGCAACAGCTGCAGAGATGGCGGCACGCGACCTCCACAGTGCGGTGGGTTCATGCAACCCCAACTGCTACCCGACAGTGCGTTTCCTACGAGAAGGATGTGAAGAGGGTCCCAGGAGGCACGCCCTCGACATTTCTGGGAGTCAGGCTTTCAGAGGGAACTGGAAGAACGTTTTTCACAGTTTGGCAAAAGATTGTCTTAAGTACAGTTGATTGATTGTTTCCACTCCCACCAACGTTGTGATTATCCAAGAGATATAATAAAGGACTCTCTTTATTACAGTTACTTATAACGTGCCCTTTTCCTAACTGCCCAGCATTCTCCACTAGATGTGCCAGACTTCCTCCAGTGGGCCCACCGGGAGCACGCATGTGATGTCAGTTCTGTGGAAAGGGCCTGACTTTGCATTTCTGGTGTGCCAGCATCCACTCAGATCTTGTAGGAATCATCACAATTTGCATCCTCAAGGGGTACCATAACTCACGGGGGAGACAAATACTGAAATTAATAGGATCAGTTGTGATACGTGCTATGATAAAAGCAGAGACTTCTGCTCCCAGATTCTCTGTTTCAGGCATCCATAAAATTACAAATGTATGACAGCACAAACTGGCCATTATTTACCTTGTCAAGAAAGTTATTAAACAAAATCTATCACTTACAGTCACCACCATTTCATAAAATAAAGGTTATTGTAACACAAAAGACTAAAAGCTTATGGTACCAAAGAAGAAAGATAGTTCCTTACTTTCCTAAGTCCAGATGGAGAAAATTTTTACCTTAAAAATTTCTGACACTTTATAATATGCAACTTTTAAAATACAAGTTTGTCATTTTGTTTTCAATTTGGGAACCTATATTCAACAGTGTAATACCAAATGGAGATAGAATGTTCAACTTTTTCCGGTAACGTATTTATCACCGTCATTTCAGAAAATTGTTTTGCATAGATTTAGTGCTGAAAATTGAAGCAATATTCCTAACGATATTCAGGGTGATCAGCACGCATATTCCAGGTAAACTGGCATGAATTAAGGCTCTCATTCCTGTAGCTACTTTTTCCTTAAAGATCTGGTATTCCTTCATCAATAAATGTGTAGGAGAGTGGCTTCAGGTGTCTCTTGTTAGACAGTCACTACACCTGGGGCTGTGTCACTTGAGGACTGTAATCACCACAGGGAGAATTGAGGAATTTTTTCTCAAAGAGATGCCACATATTAGTAAAAGTGTCTTGGACCTACAGAGGCCTACTCCCTGGATGTTGAGAATATCTAGTATAATCTTGAATTTACTCTCAGGAGTAAAGGCTGATTTCAAGAAATATTTTTTAAGCCTGCGCATCTTCTCAGGGCCTACAGACCAGACCGGCCACCGGTTGTTGATGTCAACATTCCTGCAACACTGAGTCAGGTACCTGACTGTGATGGATGCGTCCTCAGTCTGAACTCTCTTGGGAAACTTGAGGCAATTCCATTTTTCATGCATTATTTTCTTGTCATTCTCTAAAGTCAAAACACTGGGACAATCATCCCTTCCCAGAGCCTCATTCCCACAGTGTCCAGACCCTCCTGTCTTTGACCAAGCTCTCATTATCTTACTTCTTCCATCATCTTTCAACTTGGAGGATTTGTTCCTTTATGTTTGGTTAAGATGCCTAATTCTTCCCAGGAAACTCTCTCTTCCTCTGGTTTTTCTCCTTTATTCTTGCAATGAAGAGATTTACATTAGCATGTTTCCCTAACGAACCAATCTTTCATTGTGGAATAAACCAAATATGGCCAGGGTATGTTGGATTATACATCCCCAGATTTGGTTAACTATTTTCTTTAAGATTAATGCTTCCAGGCATGGTAGCTCATGCCTATAAATCCAGTGTGTTGGAGGCTGAAGCAGGATGATCACTTAAGGACAGGAGTTGGAGACCAGCCTGGGCAATGTAGCAAAACCCTTGTCCCTAAATTAAAAAAAAAAAAATTAGCCAGGCATGGTGGCACATACCTGTAGTCCCAGCCATTTGAGAGGCTGAGATGGGAGAATCACTTGAGCCCAGGAGTTTGAGGCTGCCGTGAGTATGATCATTCCCCTGCACTCCAACCTAAGCAACAGAGTAAGATTCAGTCCCTTAAAAAGTTCATGTATATATGCTTAGAAGTGACTATAACCTGTAATTCCTTTTATTGCCATTCCCCTGTTGTTTGTTTGTTTTTTACTGAAACAATCGGGGTTACAATGGCTTTTAAAAGTGAACTGGAAAGATGATATATGTATATCCTATTTTCTAAAAGAGCTTTGCATATGTTTGGAAATAATTGTTCCTTGAATGTTTGTTAGAATTTCCTCATAAAACCTTTGTGGGTCTTTTTGTTTGTTTGTTTGTTTGGGGGAAGATTTTTAAGAACTTATTTAATTTCTTTAATGATCATATTTTCTTTATGCTCTTAAATCAATTTTGGTAATTTGATTTTTTCCTAGAAATCTTAAAACTAAATTTTCTAATATACCAACCTAAAGTGTTCATAGGTTTGCTTATAACTATTTTAATCTTAGCTGTATCTAGAGATATGCCCCTCAAAAATTCCCAATATGGCTTATTTTGTGCATTCTGTTTTATTCTTTTTTTTTTTTAATAGACAAATTCTCCCTCTGTCACCCTGCCCGGAATGCCATCATGCAAACGTAGCACCTCAGACTCCTGGGCTAAAGCAATTCTCTTGCCTCAGCTTCCAGAGCAGCTGGGACTACAGTCATGCAACCACGCCCAGCTAACTTTTAGTTTTTGTAGAGATGGGGTCTTGCTATATTGCCCAGGCTGGTCTCAAACTCCTGGGGTCAAACAATCCTCCAGCCTGTGCTTGCTAAAGTGCTGGGATTACAGGTGTAAGCCACTGTTTCCTGCCTTGTTTTATTCTTGATTAATATTTTCAAGGATTTGTCAATTCTAGCAGTCTTTTTGGAAGCCAGATTTTGGATTCTGCTGATTCTTCTGATGCTTCTTGTCCATTACATGAAGTTCTGTTCTCATATTTATGATCACCTTTTTCTGTCTTCTATGGATTAATTTTTTAAAAAACTGCATGATAAGGTGGATACTTAGGTCATTTGTTACAGCCTGTCTTCTCTCTTAGTAAAACATTTAAGGAGAGCAGTGTTTAAGTATCTGCTTAGCCAAATCCCACAAGTCTTCATTAGCGTTACTATTAGAATTCAGTTCTAGTTATTTTTAATTTTTAATTATGCCTTTTAGTCTCCTTTAATTAGAAAGTATTCTTGATCTTTCTTTGTCTTTTATGACCTTCACATGTTTGAAGGGTAAAACTCAGTGATTTTGCAGCCTTTCCTCAATTTGGGATTTGTTGTGACCTTTTCTTTAGGTGTTCTGCACTTTAACCATGATGCATTTAGGTGCTGATGTCATTCAGTTTTTTTTTCTCCTTAGAATTCACTGGACTTCCTAAATTGATGCTTCATTAAGGATCAGTGTTATTCAATAATTCTGGAAAATTATCAGCCATTATATCTCCAAATATTTTCTTGTCCCTACGTTCTCTATTGTCTCATTCTGGAACTCTCATTAGACATATGTTGGACTTCCTCACTCTATCCTGCATGGATTATTCTCTCATTTTTTCGCCTCTTTGTTTCTTTATGGTGCATTCTGAATACTTTCTTCTGATCTTCTATATCACTAACCTTCTCTTCAACTGTGTCTGATCTGATTGTCTCATATGTTGGTTGTTGTATCCATTAGTGTCTGGTGTGTTATGCAAAAACAGTGGCTTAAAACAACAAATGTTTAGCATTCATCACAGTCTTCTGGATTGGCTGAGTTGTTCCCCTGGTCTGAGATAGGTTGTTTGGTTTCTGTAGTCAGCCAGTAGCTCCCTTGGGTCTCATGTGCCTAATAACACCTCACTCAGATGTCTGGAGGTTGGCTTTATATTAGTTGGAGTATTGGGGATCACTCAGCTGTGTCTTTTTCATCACCAAGCAGGTTAGCCTGGGCTCATTGACACAATTGTAGGTGCAG